TAGAAAAATCCCACAGAGATGTGGATATATCTGCTGGTAGTCTATACATTTGTCCGTGCCATGTGAATTACTAATGTGACACGAATTGAGACTACCCTGGGAAAGACTCTGTGGCAAGCCTGAGAGTCCAAGGAAATAGAGTAAATTGGGTTCCTTCTAAGGGGAGCCCGGCATGTATGATGAAGGCTGACAAATACTTGACTTTAACAAACACTGTAGTAGCTAAGTAGAGTGTTAGCAAAAGTTGGATGCAAAGGAGACTGTGACCAGTGGTGCAGTTTTGGCACTGTTGCTAGGAACTGTAAGGCACATAGAGTGGCACTAACATGGCAGGTGAGCATTGTGGTATATGACCCAAGTTTGGGTGCTGATCCTGCCACTTGCTAGCTGGATGACTTCAGACAAGTCTCATTTATGCTGAGTCTTAGTTTTCCCATTTCTCAAATGTGCATATTAATTATACCTGACCCGTAGAATTGTACTGAGATTGATGTGATGTTGTGAAACGCGTTTATATAATGTCAGCCCCATATAAGGGCTCAAGATATGATGATGTTTATTATTAAACCACAAATAAAGTAGATGAACAGTGCTTTATTTAAAATTCAGTAGATGGGTCATTCTGGTAGAGTAGGTTTTGGCCCCTTTAAGATCAAAATCCATTTTAAAAGTAATTTTTTTTAAAAAAAGACATATTCATTTTTATTGGAAAGGCAGATTTACAGAAAGAAGGAGAGACAGAGAGAAAGATCTTCCATCCACATTGGTTCACTCCCCAAGTGGCTGCAATGGCTAGAGCTAAGCTGCTCCAAAGCCAGGAATTTCTTCCGGGTCTCCCACGTGGATGCAGGGTCCCAAAGCATTGGGCCATCCTCTACTGCTTTCCAGGCCATAAGCTGGATAGGAAGTGAAGCAGCTAGGATATGAATTGACACCTATATGAGATCCTGGCAGTCCAAGGTGAGGATTTAGCTGCTAGGCTATTGTCATTTTAAAATATACAGAGTTTACTTCAGTTTGACCTCTATAGAGACCCTCCAGTCATACAGAGCAGTCTGACTTATGCAATGTTAAGTTGTGGACATGCTGCTCAGGGTCCATTAGAGAAAAAAGAGCCCCCCAAAATCTGCAACCCCTGGTCTGATCAAATATCTCAGAGTGTGACAGGCATGGAGTCCAGAGTGCTTGAGAATGCCAAGTATCCAGGATGACTAAGTGATGGTTCTGCTACTCAGGCCACCGTCTAGACCCTCAGAGCTGACCCATGGTGCCAGGTGTTCACAGGAACATTGATGAACTGGAAGACATCCAGGAGCAGGTGGCCCGGATGGCAAAGAAGCAGAAACGAGTGTGATCATTTGTGCAGAAAAATGGAGGCACACTTCTCATATCTGTCAGATACCAGTGAGACTCTGATATCACTGGGTATACCAGAAGGCAGAGCTAGGTAGCAGTGGGGTGTCAGGCAGAGACTATGGCATCAGAAACCTGAGCAGGTGCACTGAGTGGCAGAAAGGCTCGCATGCCAAAACATCTTCTCTCTTTCTCGCAGCCCTTCCTACCCACTCCTCTGTCTTATACCCTTTCTTTCATCTCTCTCCAGTGTTGGGGTTGGCCAGCAGGTTGGTGAGGTTCCCCGCAACTATGGGGAAACTCTGAACTTGCCTTGAACTCTTGTGGGTAGGTACTGCACTGTCTTGGCGTACCCCTGTGGAATGTTGCTGTGAATTTTTCAGAGATGTCCTGCCAATCACTGAGGTTTCTCACCTGCAAGTATGTGATGGGTCCTTCCAAAAGCTGTGATTTCAGTAGGCCTGATGTGGACACAGGCAAGTAGGGAGGAGGGAGAGTATTTCTCTCGGTTCCTATTCCTGATAAAATGGGGAGTGGGAGGAGGAGCAGGTGGAGGTGTGTGTACATATCTAGAAACACTCGGTGCTGGAGAAGCCCACAAACTGTTTGTTTCTACATAGCACATTGCATAGTTGGAAGGGAGCGTGTTTGAATCTCTGCTCTTCAGTATTTCCTTGGAAGTACCAGATTTCCATATCCCCCTCCACAAGTTGGTCCTTGTTCCTCCCTTGGATATTTTCCCCCAGCTTATTTACAATTTTGGAAGCAGCTCTTGAAAGAGCAGCTTGTTGGGATAGAACATCCTAGACAAAGGAGAAGTCCAGCCTTCCACCCTGCTGCTTGCGCCTGCTTTCCGGCTCTCGGCAGAGCTTGCTTAGAGACCCGGTTCTTTTCTGCAGTCCTGTGGCCTGAGGTGTTAACTCGTGTTCTTTTCCTCCACGCTTCAGTTGCTCTCTAGGAAAAATAGATGTTAAAATCCTTGTTTCGTGTATGTGCTGCCGAAATAAGCACTTCAGAAAGCGATTGGATGAAATCCATGAGATTACGTATGTACAGGATCTGGAATGTTAAAATAGGTCTCTAGTAAATGCTAGTTCCCATACTATAAAAGAGGCAGCATGAGACCACACTGTGTACGAGCACATGGACATGGGTATGGTCAGAACTACGCAAAACCACGTGCATTCCTACAAGTGACCACGTCACACAAAACTGCACCCAAACTGCGGAGTTAGGGCCAGCATTGTGGTACGGTGGGTTAAGCCATTGCCTGTGACACCAGCATTCCTTATCAGAGTGCTGGTTTGTTTGTTTGTTTGTTTTTAAGATTTATTCATTTATTTATTTATTTACTTATTGGAAAGGCGAATATGCAGAGAGGAAGAGAGGCAGAGCGGAGGATCTTCCGTCCAATGGTTCACTCTCCAAGTGGCTGCAATGGCTGGAGCTGAGCCAATCCAAAGCCAGGAGTTCTTCAGGGTCTCCCACATGGGTGCAGGGTCCCAAGGGTTTGGGCAGTCCTCAGTTGCTTTCCCAGGCCACAAGCAGGGAGCTGGATGAGAAGCAGGGCCTCTGGGATTAGGACTGGCGCCCATATGGGATCCCGGCACGTGCAAGGCGAGGACTTTAACCACTAGGCCACGCTGCTGGGCCCCAGAGTGTTAGTTGGAATCTCAGCTGTTCCACTTCTGACCCAGCTTCTTGCTAAGGTGCCGGGGAAGGCAGCGGAGGACAGCCCCCATCTTTGGATGCCTGCCATCCACATGGGAGATCAGGGTGGAGTCCGTTGTTGAGGACATTTGGGGAGTGAATCAATGGAGAAAAGATTCTCTCTCCCCATCTTCCTCTCCTTCCCCTTTCCTCTTTCCCTCTCCTTTTCTCCTTCCCTACCCCTTCCCCTCTGCCTTTCAAATAAATAAAATTTTTTAAAGATTTTATTTTGATTGGAAAGGCAGATATACAGAGAGGAGGAGAGACAGAGAGGAAGATCTTCTGTTGATTCACTTCCCAAGTGGTCTCAATGGCTGATCTGAAGCCAGGAGCCAGGAGCCTCTTCTGGGTCTCCCAGGCAGGTGCAGGGTCCCAAGGCCATGAGCCATCCTTAACTGCTTTCCCAGGCTACAAGCAGGAAGCTGGATGGGAAGTGGGGCTGCCGGGATTAGAACCAGTGCCATGTGGGATCCTGGCATGTGCAAGGCAAGGACTTTAGCTGCTAGGCTACTGCACTGGGTCCTCAAATAAATCTTTACTAAAAAGCTACAGAATTTAATGGAAAAGCAAGTTTAAGGGCGTGATACTCAAGAGGTTTGTCAATGGTACATAAAAGACAGTAACCTATAAATGATAGAATAATTTTGTACGTGTTAAATGATTAGAGACACACAAATGTGCTAACTGGCAATTCACCTTGGAAGAGATCTTAATATAGCTTTTTGTTTATTTTTTGAAGATTTATTTGTTGTACTCAAATGAGTTACAGAAAGAGAGGTATTCCTTCTGTTGCTTAGCTCTCTAAATGGTTGCATTGGCTAAAGTTAGGTTGATCTGAAGCTGGAAACCAGGAGCTTCTTCCAGGTCTCCCGTGTGGGTTCAGGGGCCCAAGGCCATGGGTCATCCTCCACTGCTTTCCTATCAGTTGGGAACCGGACGAGAATCGAAATAGCCAGGAGTAGAACTGGCATTCATTTGGGACGGTGATGCCACAGGGCAGAGGATTAGCATGTATACCACCAAAGCCTCTGAAGATAGCTTTTGAAAGTGGGTGTTGAAAAGGTTGCGGCAGTGGGTTACATAAAATGATAGAAGCGGGTTGTCTGAGAAGGTGTTGGTGAGTGGTAGGTAGTAAGTGGTAGATGTTTGAGGGTGTGTGTGTGTGTGTGTGTAGTTTTGCATATCTATGGAACTGAGTTCAACTAAAGTTTCCTGCATTCACCTAATGTTTCTTGTGGAGGACACAGATGAGGTAACACGGAGCTTGCTTTGTCCCCTAAAATATCACTTGGTGCTTGAACACATTTGATGCTTTCCAAACAAGCACTGCAGCAGAACTGAGTGTACTGTAGCTGGTGTCACTGAATGAACAATTAGAAGGTGATTCAGAAAATAAAACTAGCATTATTGCAAAAGAGAAATATGCCTGGGGTCTCTGGGATTGGATGAGACCCCCGTTGTCCATGACGTTCTGGAAGTGCTGCATAGCTGCTCTGCTGCTTGCCTCCTCCTGCTGGTGTGAACATTTGTGTCTAGAAGAGTCCCTTCCAGGCACACTGGGCCAAGGGAGGCGAGAGGCATGACTCCTCTCTCTCCTCCATTTCAGACAGTGCCCCGCCCCCCCCCCCCCCCCCCCCAGGTCTTACTTGCTGTTCTGTTTTCCTTGCTGTTAGTTTGCAAGTCTGCAAATCTTGATCAGTTGCCCCCATTCCATTTGACAGCTGACTTCGCAGGCATGAGTCTTTTGCAAGGAAAGAGAAGCCTCGGTTGGTAGTGTCATGTTCAATCATTTAGGTGCAGGTGGGGTTTCCAAGAAGCTCTTTCATTTCTGGTCTGGGAGGAGATGATATCAAAGACTATGAGCATTTACAACTTTTGTATTTTTGAAAGACCAAGAACAATCTAATGATTTCTCTTTTTCTTTCTCTTTGTTTTAGAGAGCTGGATTGAAAGATGTCTCAACGAAAGTGAAAACAAACGTTATTCCAGTCACACATCTCTGGGAAATGTTTCTAATGATGAAAGTAAGTGCTTGAGGCTCATTCTTCCATGACATCCCGGACACAGCCAATGTCCTAACAGGAGGGGCTGTGGGGAACCACTTGGAGCAAGACACACTCTAAGCCATTTACGCATTACAGCATTCCGTAGCAGGAAGTCGAATCTGAGCAGGTGCACATGGACACCAAAGCCATGGCAAGACCATGCTGTTGGCAGAGTCATTTTCTCAGCCTGGGTCCCCAAAGACCCCATTATAGAGACACTCCCCATGGGCAGTGGGGGACCCTGAAAGAGAAGCCATCCCTCCTGAAGTGGATTTACAGTTGACTGTGGGATTGTCATTTTGCAGTCACAAGTGTCCTCACTATCATAATTAGAAAGTCATTCTTGATCCTGGGCTAGAGAGGTGGGGGCAGTGGGGAGATTTAACTGTGTGCACACCTTGCCTGAGTTACAGCAGGCTTCTGAGTCCCTTCTGCTTAAGACAAACCACTGACTGCATGACACTTGTCTTTGCTCCGTAAGCACTAAAAACTAGAAGGGAGGAGCTTACTAGGAACACAATCCCCAGCAAGGTCAGAGTGCCTTTCACCCTTGGTTGGCCAGCTCATCTCTTTAGTCCGGTCACCTCAAAGCCAAGAGCCCAGGCCCCCTCATTCTGCAGTGCCCCAGGGGATCTGTAAGGTGTGGTCAACAGCTTCCTTTTGGCACTGTCGTTCTGTCATCACCATTTTACCTCATTGTATAAACTTGAGGTGGGTTGAACGTGAAGTACACAAATCGTAGGAGAATGGTTTGATGACTTTGTTTACATATTGTGTTCATCTGTTAATCACAGAAAGATATAGAACATTTGTAGCTCCCCTACCCCGTCAATAAGCACTGCCCTGGCTTTTTTCACTTCACATTGGTTTTGTCTGTCTGAGAAACTTCATATAAAAGGAATCATGCACTCTGTTTTCTTTTGTATATAACATTTTTCACTTAGCATAATTTCTATGAGATTCATCCATGTTGTTGTATGTAGTAATAGTCCTATGTTAACTATTTCATTGCTATGTAGTATTCCACTGTATGAATAGGCTGTAATTTACATGTCTACTTATGTGTTGATGGGTAGTTCAGGTTTTTTTGCTAAGATTAAAGCATCTGTTAGTAAGTATAGTTTTAAGTTTTATTGTGGTAAGGTACACAGCACATAAAATTTAACATTTTCATCGTTCTATGTGTGCAACTCAGAAAGCTTAAATGTATTCAGCTCCTTGTAAAATTATCACCACCATACACCCATGGGACTCCCCTAGTCTCCTTTTCCCCCAGTCTCTACTCTCTGACTTTAGGAACCTGTTTTACATTATCTCATGTAAGTAGAGTCATGCAGTGTTTGTCTTTCTGTGAGTGCGTTAAGTCACTTAGCATATTGCCTTCAAGGTTAGCCCACACTGTTGCATGTGTCAAAATAGCCTTTGTTTCTGTGGGCTGTACATGTGGGTAGAGCACACTTCTCTTTACGCTTGGGTCTGCCGATGGATATTTGTGTTTCTGCCTTTTGGCTACTTTGAGTCCTGCTGCTTTGAACATGGAAATGCAAAAATCTGCAGTCCTGTCCTTCAGTTCTTTGGGACATACACCCAAAAGTGGTGTTGCTGGGTCATACAGTAATTCTATGTTTAGTTTTTGGAAAAATTGCAAAACATCTCATATAGTGGCTGCCTCACTTTGCATTCCCACCAGTTATGTTCCTTGTTGTGGCCGTAACACCTGAAGGCCCCAGTTACTCCACTAGTCGGTGACTCCTAGTGCCTTGGTGTTTATTTTCTGTTTGTTTTACAATAGTTACTCTAATGAGTGATGTTGAGCATCTTTCCATGTGCTTATTTAAATATCTTCTTTGGAAAATACCTTCTTTGGAAAAATGTCTAATTCTTCTGGTCATTTTTCTTATTAAGATGTGTTTGCGTTTTTTTAAAAACAGAGATTGAGAAAGGCGGGGAGAGAGAGGAGAGGGAGACAGAGACAGAGACAGACATGGCTAAACCAGACCAAAGCAAGGAGCCGGGAATCCCGCCCAGATCTCCCACATGGTGGGCAGAAACTCAAGTACTGCATCATTCACTGCCTCCAAGGCACGGGGCAGGAAGCTGGTCTGCAGGTGCAGTGTAGTCAGTCCTCACCCCAACACTCTGACATGGGATGCAGGCAAATCAAGTAGTGGCTTCACTTGCTGCACCTCTGGCCATTTTGAAATCAAATGGTTTGTGTTTTGCTATTATATTCCATGGGTTGCCTTTCCACCCTATTGATTTTGTTCTTTAAAAAACAAAGCCTTTGATATCTATTTTGTATGTTGACGAAAATTTATCTATTTGTTTCCTTTTGTTGTCTGTGCATTTGGAATCATATCCAAGAAATCATCTAATCCAATGTTGTAAAGCTTTTGCTTTGTTTTCTTCTAAGTGGCTTATTGTTTTGGAATTTGCATTTAGGTCATAATCCTCTTTGAGTTAATGTTTGTCTATAATGTTAGATTTGGACCAGCTTCATTCTTTTGTATGTAAATATCCAGTTTCCTCAGCACAGTTTGTTGAAAAGACTGTCTTTTTCCTATTGAGTAATCTTGGCACTCTTGCTAAAAAAAAGCATTTGATCATGTAGGTATGTGAGAGCTTATCTCTAGGCATTCTGCTCTGTTCTACTGTATTCTATTTCTATTTTTATTTCTATTTTTATTCGATTACATCCATCTATCCTATCCTATCCTATGCTATGCTATGCTATGCTATTGGTCTGTATGTCTACTTCATGCCAGTGCTACACTGTGACTCCATAGTAAGGTCTGACATCAGGAAATGTGAGATCTCCCATGTTGTTCTTTTTCAAAACCATCTTAGTTATTCAAGTCCCTTGAAATTTCATATAAATTTTACAATACATTTTTCTACTTCTGTAAAAAATTCATTTATTTCTTAATAGGGATTGCATTGAATTTATTTGGACATGTTTTATTAAGTTTTCTAACCCAAGAATAGAATATATACAAAATGTGCTAAATATTTGTTCTTTCAACAACATCTTATAGTTTTCTGTGTGTTAATCTTTTGCTTCCTTATTTTTATTCGACTATTTCATTTTTTTGATGCTAATATAAAATATTTTAAATAAATAAATAAATAGGATATCTATCTATATAGATAGATGTATATCTATATCTATCTATCTATCTGTCTATCTATCTATCTATCTTTCATTTATTTGAAGACAGCCAGAAGGAGGTACAGAGAGAAAAAGAAAGCCTCCAACTGCTGGTTCACCCCCAACTATTTGCAACAGCTAGGGCTGGGCCACATTAAAGCTAGAAATCCAGAATCCGTCCAGATCTCCCAAGTGGCCCGAGTACTTGAACCGTCCTCTGGTGCTTTCCCAAACACCTTGGCAGAGCTGGATATAAAACAGAGCTGTCAGGCCTCCAACAGGCACTCTAATCTGGGATGCCAGCGTCACAGGGGACAGCTTCATGTGCTGTGCTGCAACACCAACCCTTAGAACAGTTCTCCTATCTTTCTCTCTGTTCACTGTTCAGCTGTTTTAAGTATGTAGAAATGCAACTGATTTTTATGTGTTGATTTTGAATCCTGAGACTTTGTGGAATTGTCTTATTTTTTAATAAGATTTTTTGATGATTTTTACATGGTGATTAGGATGCAAAGGATCAAGGGCTGCGGGAGGATGGGTGTGACCATTATTTCCACATTCTTTGTTTTTCCTTCTTGTATCTGGGGGAAGGGGAGAGTTAAGGGAGAAGCCATACCCATCCTCCCCAACACCTCCATGCCTGATGCCATGCCATGGTTCCCAATATGGGGCATACTCCAAGGGTCCTACTCAAGAGGTTTTGATAGTTTAACAGTTCTGAATTACTACCAATCCCACCACTCCAAGTGCAATAAAATCTCTCCAGAATCCACTGATTGGCGTAGTCCATCATAGAGTCTCTGTTTGTCCAGGTATTCACTGCCAACACTTGGCTGGGATAGTTGATCAATCTGTTCTGTCCTTCTGTCTTCTGAGCTCTGTTAGGGTACCAGCTGTCCTCTGCAGGCTCCAATGGACTACCATATCCTCCATCTGCACCTGGATATGCTGTCCACTGCTCCATCTAAGCCATTCAAGAGGCTCAGCTCTGATACATGTACCAATGGGTGTTGCAGTCCAGCCTGATACGTGGTTGGGGTTCTGAGTCCAGTGATTCAGTTGGGGAGATCCCCAAAGAAACATCATCTGAGATGAGCCCAGACCTGATTCTTGTGTGTGCTTGCCAATGCAGCATCCAGCACAGTCTGTCACTCCAATCAACTTTTGCACATGCTGGTGATTGCAATTGCTGGGTCAGTTCTGACTCCAGCCCTGTGTTCTACACAAACCAATGGGTGTTGCAGTTCAGCCTGATCCTGCCCACCACACACTTGGCCCTCACACAAACCACACTGGTGCTGGTGGATGCCATTCTCTCTCTAGCTATGCCTGCCCCAGTCCTGGTTCTCATGCTCACCATCGGAGTGGCAATCCAGGGGGAGGGGCCCATTGTTTCCCTAATGGGCCCACTCCCATGCCCAGATCTTTCACTCTCTGGGTGGTTCTGCAGTTTAACTTTAGCAGAATTTGGTCCCCATGCCAGCATCTGTCAGCTGATGCGGTGGCAAAGCCCAACAAACCAACACCTTCTGGCTTATTCTTGGACCAATAGGAATAGTCAACCAGCCTAGCTTTCCCCATCCAGCTCACATGAGGCCAGCAGGTGCTGTAGCCCTGTTCAGCCTGGTCTACCCCAATCCCAGCTCTCATGCTTACTAGTAGGCGTGGTGGTCCAGCAGGGGGAGCCCCTTGCAGCCCCCTTGCTGGGTTCTCCTCCTCCTCACCCAGGTCTCACATGTGCTGGTTGGGCACTGCAGCCCAATCTGACATGGCCCACCTCATCTTGGCATTTGCCTCTGGGTGCTATAGCCTGGACAGGCCCAGCCCACCC